GTCATGATTTTAAAGCTATCTGCCCTCAGCCCCCACAGCTTATATCCGATATCATCAAACGGTGAACCTACCAAGTAATTTCGTAGCCCTTGGAGATAGTGTGTCATCTGGTAAGGTCTTATATTCCAATGAATTTCTTGAGCTGAATTGTGATTTCGTGTAGTGGATCCTCTATACGGGTACTAGCTTCTTTTTTGATGAGTTTTCTCACCCGATTATTCATTGAGTAAATACCAGCCAAGGATGTACCAAAGCTTTATTGGGTGCGGTTGCGCTTCATAAAGTACTCTCTGCCAAAACACAAGTGGACACCAAAGAACTACCTGCGGACTTTTCAGAACAGTTCTTCAAGGAGCACTCCAAAAAGACAGACAATTTCTGGTAAGCACTCCACATTTTGAGATAAATATTCTATTGTTCCTAAGAGGATTGGCATTACTCAGGCAGCTCACTCATCTATTGGGTAAGCAATTCAATGTTAGCATGTGGTGTCAACTTTACGCTCTGTTGAATCTCCGTCCCTATTAAAGATTATGGTATTCCCAGTACTACACCATTGCCAGGAGAAGACCTTAAAGTGGGCCGTTTGTTGCGTTGGTATTTGAGAAGAGTTCAGATTCTTGCCACAAAGGTCAGAACAATTAATTAGTACATACTGCTATCATGTGTGTGTTGCACTACTCACAGTTTATCAGGATGCACAAGCTGGACGGGCCTACTGGGATGGAGTCATGGGGTTTGGCACATCTGTTGATATTTTCCATCCATTCTTGGTGCTGAAGACTCTTTTCAATACCTTGATTGGAGGAGAATAGGAAGCAGACCAAGGTATTGCCCTTATATCATCTTTTGTTTTAGATGAGTTTTATGGTGCTCAACAGGCTAGGCCAATCTTTTCCCTGTTGTGAGTTGTTATTAGATCCTTCAGTTACCATGTTCTCCATTGGAATGTTGAGTACTGTGACAACATCTTATCTGAGTATTTATTGTTGCTGTATATTTTTCAAGTAGGATGTCCAGATTATGAGTTAAAGCATCTGCAAAACATGTATACTCGCCAGAGCAAGGATACTAGCTGGAGAGCGCTCTCCAGCGACGAAAGCACCCAAAGCAAAAATCAAAGCCTACTCTGGGTGCTTTCGCTGCTGGGAAGTGCTCCCAAGTGCTCTGAGCTGCTTTCGGCTATTTAGCCGAACATACAGGTTTTGCAGATGAGCTGATCACCCAATTCTTGAATACTTATTAAACATCTCCACACCCTACCATTGAGCAATACCACTCCTTGATCTCTCAGGTGAGTGTGTCCAGGCTGCCAAAATTGTAGGGGAAAATGGGTCACAGGCCAGGAACAAAGTGAGAGAGTGATGAGAGACCGAAAAGGAGTAAGAGAGACATAATTTCAGAGTGATGAGAGACCGAAAAGGAGTGAGAGAGACATAATTTCAGAGTGGAGACATCGAGAGAAGGTCAGGGGAGTGAAAGGGCCACCAGATAAGAGGGTTGCCGTACCAGGTCGAGTAGCAAAGACTGATAAACACTCGAGTAGTTCAGCAAAGACTTGCCTCAATACATAGCTCTTAGCAAATTTTTGTCCAAGTGACTGACTCCAAGATATTGCAAGTTGTTAGGAAGAGATTTGGGCGGAAAAGCGGTAGCTGTAAATGGGACTAGAGAGAGAAGTGAAGCAAAAAAGGTGAGGAAAGAAGACATCAGGATCAAACGAGAAAAATGGAGGAAAAGGAAGGAGTGGTTCTAAGATACCATCAATGATCAAACGAGCATGGAAATGATCCTACTTAGTAGGCTAGTACTAGTAACACGTTCAGGATCAATTTGATTTCCAACCGCGCTCCCATCGATATATCAGCTTTCATTCTGCTCTTCAAACATTGAAAGTTGAATAAAATGTCAACAATTCATCATGTTTTCTTTGTTGCGCTTAGTGTGACTTTCTTACTAGCTAACCTTTAGTAACACTAGAACACACTGCACACACACTCGGTAAGACACCAATCTCAGATAGAGGCTTGAATGCAGCTTGACTCCAGACCCTTTCCTTCAAGTCTCACCCTTCTAGGCTACGTAGTCAATTTAATAAGGCGCGGTCTTCTCTCCGAAATGGACTACTCAATGGAGTTCTGTTCTGCTTTATCCCCGGCGCACTACATATATATCCAGCACTATAACAACAGTCGACTCAACCATTCACCTCAAATCTTCTTCTGCTCTTCCTTCATACCAAGAATCATCCTATGGTTTTCCAGGCTGGACAACCACTCAAATTCACCGCCGTTCAGCCAATATTCCTTCTCACTATAACCATCGGAGTCGTTTTCCATGGATTAGTTTATTCAGTTTGGAGGGTTCTCCGCTGGTATTCCTTCAGACGCCATTCTGGTATTCCCGAAATCGAGGAATTGGGGAAGACGCATCCTTTAGAGCAGAAATTGGATGGGACGGCCATAATATGCGGAGGGAGGTTAGTTCAGATTTTGTTTGTTTCATACTAGAGGGATGCGGCATTCTCATTCCGAATCCTATCTATTTTCATACCCGTGGTGGTGCATATAGCATCGCCGGCCTCCTCACAGCCCGAGTCTGTGCCGATTTCTTCAAACAAGTCATCATCGTCGAACCAGAAGAATGGTTAACCGGCGAAGATGGGATGCGGAGGTTTTGCTCGGAGCAGGAACATAAGCGCACGCGTGTTATGCAGTATACATCACTCCATGGTTCGTGCACTCATTTTCAATGTCACCACCAAGCCAGGCCACCACTCACATCCCCAAAATGGCATGTTGTTGTCTCATTCAGGTAGTCAAGCTCTGTTGTACGCCGGTCTCCGAGAGCTTTTTCCGGACTTAGATGAACAATGTCGATATTCAGGTTTAGGGTAAGTGATTCGGAAGATTCTAGTCTTCCCTCTTTGTTCCGTGTTGATAACCCGTCCTATCTCTAGCGTGTTTCCAGGAGACAGGAAGAACAACTTCGCTGGAACGCCCATACCAGCTCCGGTTGATTCGTATGGCGGCACTTTGCCGAAAACAATTTATTCTGGGCGGGCAGGGCTTGAAACACTTCTACGGTAAGATACGTTTGTTGCATACATCTTTTTGAACTTTGCGCTCCTTCATTCACTCGTCGACTTGTTTGCTTACTCACTCTCTGTTATTGTTGTTATGTACCCAGCCGGCTGGTCCTTGGTCGAGGCAGTTATCCCAACATCACGCAAATAGCTGGAACGGTTGTTGGAGTTTTGCCGCATTCTGAAGGCGACGCTTCTCATGTCAGTGGGGTCAAAATTCGAAGACCGGATTTGACGATTGAGGAGCTTGATGCAAGCCTGGTGGTTGGTGCGTTCTATCACGCATCATCACTTCTTCTGCCGGCTTTACTCAAATATCAACGCTTTATTTTTTACAAATGAATAGATTGCACCGGACCAACCCGCGCTGGTATCAAATGGCTGTCTCAATCAGGTTATGGTACCACCAACGCTAATACTGATAGCAGCAGTAAGGTTGCTCTCCAGAACGCAAGAATTTCGTTTGACCAGAAGCTGCAATATTCTACCCTCACATGCAAAGTCACCCCCGAAACCTTGGCGAAACTACCGATTCCCCCAGATCAGACGCCTGAGACTGTTACGTTCACGTTATTAGAGGACGGTGTTGAGAACGGACGGAGGGTTATTGCTCTGATACGGGGAGATGGTAATGAAAGTCAGTACCACTTTTTTACTTTGACGTTTATGGTGTTTGCTTACTTCGTTCAAATGACCGTCGCATTAGTTTCGCTCTTCGCCGGTCAATCCAGCGACGAATCTGTCAAATACGAGTCGCTCGATTCGATGCGATCATTGGCGCAGGAATTGAAGACATATCAGAAACGTCCAATCCCGGGGTGGTTGTACGAAGCTATTGATATCCTCGAGGAGGCCCAACCGGAGATACAGTTTTCCCATGTTCGCATTCGTGAGTACACGATTAGATTTCAAAGTGGTACATACGTACACTAATCGTTCGTCGATGTTCCTACTTTCAGCTCCCACAGCCTATATTCAATATCATCGAACGGTAAACCTGCCGAGTAACTTCGTAGCGTTGGGTGACAGTGTGTTATCGGGTGAGATCTTTACTTGGATGGTGATAATTATTTTTGTGATTCAAACCTTGATTCCTATGTTCAGTGGATCCTATATACGGGTATTTATCTTTTCTTTTTCCTACTCTTCTTCACGTATCTGATTATCGCGTGAATGCCAGCCAAGGATGTACCAAAGCTTTGATAGGCGCTGCTGTGCTGAACAAGATCCTTCTTAAGTCTATCAAGACACCAGTGACAAACAACAAGCATTTGCCCACAAATTTCTCAGAAGAGTTCTTTAAAGAGCATTTTGACAAGACAGATGCTTTTTGGTCAGTAATTCACATTTCGAGTCCGAAAATATAATTTGGTCTAAATCTCGGCATTGCTCAGGCAACTCACACATTTACTGGGTACGCTCAGAAATAGGACATGCTTCATAGTCAAAGGACTATTATTAAATCTTCTTGCTAAAAACAGATTATGGGATACCCTGTACCACCCCCGTACCCGGAGAAAATCTGGAAGCAGGCAGTCTAGTGCGTTGGTATCTAAGAAGGGTACAAATTCTCGCTACCAAGGTGAGGCGATTTGAACAACGCACTTCGAATTCAGCTTTTAAATGTTACCATCATCTAGGATGCCCAGGCTGCGCGGGTGTTCTGGGATGGGGCCAATGGATTTGGCTCAGCTGTTGATATTTTCCACCCATGGCTTGTGCTGAAAACTCTTTTTGATACAGCTATTGGAGGATAAAAATGGATCTACAAATCTACGGTACTTGACAGGACGTTTGCTTGATTTTTCTGAGGTTTTAGACAGGATGTGACTCTCACACATATTCTACATATGAAATTTATTGACTTGGTATATTTTCATCAACATATGGTTATGCTCGACCATGATTTGGTAATGCCTTCTTAGCTCAGTGGTAGAGCGTTGCACTTGTACTCAGGTAATGGGGTGCATGCAAAGGTCAGTCGTTCAATCCGGCTAGGAGGCATTGTCATTACTTGGTGCTGTTATCTACCTATGGGTATGGATTTCTTTTTTTTTTTGTGGTTGCGAAGGACTTGAATCTGCTCTGTGTTTTTTAAACACTTTCGTACATTTATAATCTGTGTTGGGTGACAGGATAATTGAAAAAGACTCCAAGAATTTAATAACAGGACATAAGCTTCTTGAAAATGCTTCTCAGTCGTTGCTCAACTTGAATGCAGATTGTATACGTTGAATGAATGATTAATCTCGCAGGTACAGTACATGACAGTAATGTCACTGTACATGCGTGTTCAACGCGTTGCTCCCTTATTACCCCTGCGTGGCTCAGAACTTTCCATTTCAAATCCTTTGCAATCCCTAAACGTCCTCAAGCGCCCATCTAATTTCAGGTACTCTGCGTGATGGTTCCTCGGGTGTGACAGGGGTATCACGCTTTCGGCAAACTTTAGCACGCAAACTGTGACAAGCTGTTTACAGCGAATCAGAACCCGAGCGAAAGGGTTTTTCCCTTGACCGATTCTTCCCTGCTCTCACCATTCACCTTGTTCTCACCCAATTCTCGCTGTTCACAGCGTTCATTACCTTGCTTTCAATTCACTTTTGCTCTCTCCCACCGACGACCTGAATCGGTACAACTTTCTAAATCCCCTTCTCTCTCCGACTATCCAAATCTCTGGGTACGCTTTTTCTCAGGGCTGGACTCGTCAATTGTGGGTTCTACGTTCTGTTCAGCTGATACCACGTCGATAGGTTGCTCCGACAGCAACGATAGGGCTCTGCCAGCTTGATTCGACGATAAGGCTACCCAAACCGACAAACGATTTTGTTTGAAACTCGACTACTACGGCGATTACAAGCGAAATAAGGGTAGGAATTCACTGGGATGACGGCTCGACCAACGACGAGTGCTGGAGGAAGACCAACAACGAGTGCGGGTGGTCAATCGGAATTTAGTGGATTTAGTAATGGATTCGAAGGGCATGGCGACTATCCGTACGACGCTAACGGGCAATTTGTTGTCGGGCACAAATACTCACCACAGTATCCAAACCAATATGAAGGAGAGTACATGGATGATGATGAAGACGAGGAAGAAGACGTATCAGAAGACGAAGATGTCTTCGCATTCGGCGTTCCAGAAGTAGAAGCACAACCGTCAATGGCGACCTCAACCGCTTTAGCCAATATGGCTGTCTATCCTTCTCCTGTATCCGACGCACCTTATCAGCATCCTCCTTCAGCTACACAACAAACAATTTCCTCACCGCCATCTTCTCAGCCTCTCTCATCGGCTGAAGAATCAGGGTATCGGATGGAGAGACTGAACCTCGGACCGACGACACCTAGTACCCATCATTTATCATCCAAAGAGGAAGAAGCAAGTATCTTTCCTACACCATCCACCTCGCCTTCCTCCCTCTCTGCTGCCCCTTCAATCAAACTCTCCTTCTCTTCCTACCTTTCTACCGCATCCGTCGAAGAAGATTCCCCATTTCCTGAAGTCCGTGCCTCTGTATCCAACATCGATGACCCAGAAATGCCGGCGATGACATTCCGCATGTGGATTGTTGGGCTGAGCCTGTGCATGCTCAGCGCTGCGTTGAATGTGTTCTTCAACTTTCGAAGCCCGGCGCCGAGTGTGGTGCCGAATGTGTTGCTGTTACTGGGTTATCCGATGGGCAAGGGGTTGAGTTTCTTGTTACCGATAAGGACATACAGGATTCCTCTGCCGAGGTGGCCAGCATGGATGAAGAAGAAGACTGCAGATTCATCATCTATGGACTTCCCTTCTCCACCTCCGTCGTTCACGTTCTCGCTGAACCCCGGCCCGTGGAACATCAAAGAACATGGCCTGGTCTTCATTATGGGTAACGTAGCCATCTCATCTCCGTACGCCATCAACGCCATCGTCGTCTCAGAAATTTACTACAACCAAATCTGGGGATACTGGTTTTCTCTCGTCTTGGTCCTTGCTACGCAGTTGACGGGATTCGGGCTTGCGGGTCTGTGTAGGAGGTTTCTAGTATGGCCAGCGAGTATGGTGTGGCCACAGAATCTGGTGGCGTGTACGTTATTGAATACCTTGCATGCCGAAGAAGAGGGCGAGGATCTGGAGGACGATGAAGAGAGTAGGAGGTGGGAGGCAACTCAGAGTGGACAGCGTGGTGTCGACGTCGGAGGCTTACCTTCGTCTTCAGCAGTACTTGAACCACATAAACCTATCAAACGAAGGAAGTTTGCCTCCGCTGCTCCGATAACCTTTTTATCCAAATTCTCTACATCTCTTAACCCATTTGCTCCTCAAGCTCCCACTTCATCAAGCGACATCACTAATCTGAACAACCTTTCTACTCTTCCTACCCTACCGACGCTTTCTAACCTCACTGCCCTCTCCTCCACGCAGAAACGTCGTTCTCGGCGACCTATAACACGTTACCGTTTCTTCCTCTACATCACCCTCTTCAACTTTATATTCTTCTTCCTCCCGGGATTTCTTTTTACGGCGCTGAGTATATTCAGCTTTATATGCTGGGCTGTTCCCGAGAACGTGGTGGTCAATCAACTGTTTGGGGTTTATTCTGGGATGGGAATGAGTGTGGTCACGGCGGATTGGACACAGGTGAATTCCTTGGTTGAGGTCGGAATGATGAATTGACAACATGCGTTTGCGCGCTCTTCCCATCACAGATCTCATGGATAGGTTCTCCGCTTATGGTCCCCTGGTGGGCCCAGGTCCACATCTTTGGTGGCTTCGTTGCGTTCTTCTGGGTGTTGACTCCGATATTGTACTATACGAATGTGAGTTTTCTTTCATTCGGATGTTTTCCCTTGTCTCTTTTGCGATCTTTTTTTCGCGATCTTTTTCAAAGGTTTTCGTTCGTCGAGAGTTCCTGTTTGTCTTTTCCTTCTTGAGTGTTTTACTCCATTTTTGTCGTTCGTTTTTTGGTTCTTTTACCTCTCTTCCGTCTTTTGTCAAGAGCTTCTTTCGTTTTCTCGCTTTATGGGATTCGTGGTGACGCGGGGTCGGAGAATGAGTAGAAGTGTTTTTCTCCGCCTTTGGAGTGAGTCGTGATGGTGAGAGTGAGGGTTCAAAAGTCAACGCCCCTTCATGGCTTTTCTCGTGGTGTGGCGCGGATTGGTGTCAAGGTTAAAGTAGGATCCGGTTGGGATGAAGCAAATGGAGGAAGATTATGGCTTTTTATCGAATGGGGATTAGGTCAGATCAGGTTGGATAGATTGGATTAGGGTTTGAGCTATGAGGTTGGATGGGGTTGTTGTAGGTGTTCCCAATCGGATGTCGGCGTTGGGTGGTCGGGCTTTGCGGAATCGTCGGTCCTTTGATCCTGGGTGATACAGGTCGATGCGGCAAGCGTTATTCGCTATCTGACGAATGTGGGACAAATGCTTGTTTCTTTTGAAGGTGCCGAATTGTGGGTGGACACCGCGGTTCAATTTCTCAAAGTCGATTACCTCTCCTTTGCGATGCGGTGATGAGCGATCTTGGTTTTGATTTTTCCAAGTCTTTGTACTTTTTCTTTTCTCGCTCGTGTAAAAGTTGTACCTTTGCTTTATCTGAGTTTATCTGAGTTTCGTTTGTCCGCTCATTTGGGCTCCCGAGCTCGGTTTATCCTCTTTATCATTGCCTCCATCATCTTCATTACCTTATTTTCCTAATTCTTATCATCCTTGCTATATCGATCGAAACATTAACCCTCCCATATCCAGTCCTGGGACCTCTCCTACTTCCCCATCTCCGACAACCAACCATACGACCGCTTTGGGCTTCCATATAATATTACTCGTGTACTCACGAAAGATGATATTTTCAATCAGACGGCGTATGCAGAGTATAGTCCCTTGTATTTGCCTGCGACGTATGCTGTGAGTTCGACCTTTTTTCATTCTTTGCTTCGCCTTGAAGCTGGACAATATTGACAAAATTCATTCCTTCCTCTCCTTTCCCCAATCAATAGGTCTGTTACCTAATCGCATTCGCCCTCTCCACTTGCGTAATCACCCACACTCTCCTCTACCACGGCAAAGCCCTACTCGCGGGTGTGAAGAGGATTAGAGTTGAGAGTGACGATATCCATGCGAAACTGATGAGAAGTTATCCGGAGGTGCCGGAGTGGTGGTGAGTACACTTTGTGTTACTTTGGGTTTACAGTTCTTGGTTTTTTGTGGGGAAAAGATCCTCAGAGTTGTGACCTGTCTGTGCCATCGTGTTGTCATAGTGAGGATAGGACTTAGGAGGACTTTCGGAGTCTGGGTTTACTGGTTGAGCTTTGCTATCAAGGAGAGGGGATTAGGAGGACATGATGATTATCCCAATGGCGCCTCTTCTCCACGGGGTGGAGTTGATTAGGTCTTTTTTTGCATCGCCATTTTTCAAACTTGTACTTTCTCTTTCTTGCCTATCCTCCCTCTACCCTCATCCTCACCTTCCCCACCTTCTCCTCATGCCCAGGTACCTCCTCTCTATCGTGACCTTCTTCAGCCTTGCCATCATCGCAGTTGAAGTCTGGCATGCCGGTGTCCCGATCTGGGCTCTCCTTCTCGCCATCGCGTTACCGGTGATTTATATCTTGCCGAGTGGTTTTATATATGCGATGACTGGGCAGGGGGTGAGTATTACAGACATTGAACTTATCCTACTGAACTAACCTCACCATCTCACTTCTCTCGTTCAGATAACCCTCAACATCGTCGCGCAGATCATTCCTGGCACCCTTCTTCCAGGAAACCCAATGGCGAATATGGTGTTCAAAGCTTATTCCGTACAGACTCTCTCCGAAGCAACGAGTTTCGTGCAGGATTTGAAGTTGGGACATTATATCAAGATTCCGCCGAGGGCTACCTTCTTGGGTGAGTTGCGATTTGATAGGTTCATTCTGGGTCGGATTCGTTGGAGCCTTTTCTCATGAGTCTTTTTCTTTACTAACGATGCTTCTCTCCCACAGTTCAACTAATATCCACCATCCTCGCCTCTTTTGTACAGGT